TTAAGACACGCCTATAAACTACTATAACACTTTTGCATATTATTTTTGATGAGCCATGGCCTTTCAGTATGATCAGTACCAACAGCAGTCACAGTATGGCAGTGGACTAGATAATAAAACGACGTTATGGTATAATTAATGGTTAATAACTCTGATCCTTTTAAGACGAATAGCCGAAGTAAATTTACATACTTTTTAGGATGGGTGAGCTTGAACCTTGGATGGACGAAAGTTATGTCCGTCAAATTTGGTATCAACTAGGCGAAAATGTTAATGTCAAATTTATTCGGGACAAGTTCACTGGGTAATTAATATTTAAAGGAGCTTTATGATCACACTTGTAAACAGATGAAATTCATATAAAAAACATTTATTATTAATAATTTTAACAGTGCAAACGCCGGTTACTGCTTTGTAGATTTTGTGAGTAATGCAGCCGCGGTTAAAGCCTTAAGCACAGTTAATGGAACTCTTATCCCTGGTACCAATCGTGTATTTAAGCTTAATTGGGCATCAGGAGGCGGATTAACTGATAGAAAGTAAGCACATAAATTTTCTATTAAACGATGACACGTATATTTATGTTGTTTTTTTTTTCATTAATTGAACACAAAGTAGGGATGACCGTGGTCCTGAATTTTCGATTTTTGTCGGTGATTTAGGACCAGAAGTAACTGAATGGATGCTTGTGGTAGGTTTTCAGATATGTCGTTTGTTTGTTCAGGTAGCAATTGTTTTTTCTTAGAACCATTGTTATAATGATTGATAATCTGTATGTAGTCTGTTTTTCAGCAAAGGTATCCAACTTGTAAGTCTGCGAAAATAATGACTGATCCGATGACAGGCATGTCTCGTGGTAAGTATAACCCAGCTACCTGATCTACAAACTCAACACATGTTATTGATATGGTATATAACTATAGGATATGGTTTTGTTCGTTTCGCTGATGAAGCTGAACAGCAACGTGCTCTTCTTGAAATGCAGGGCTCTTTTTGTGGAAATCGCCCAATGCGAATTTCTACAGCAACACCAAAAAATAAAAGTGGCTTACCGGGCACTTTTTACCAGCAACCCTCTCAACAGGCACCTATTCTGAATCAATATAATGATCCCAATAATACCACTGTTTTCGTTGGTGGACTATCAGGAGTAAACAGTGAAGAAGAACTTAGAAGGTTTGTTATAATTGTAATTTAGGTGCACCCTCATATAATCTGAAT